CCCCCTAGCAAATTGGATCTTGATTTGCTTCAAAGGCTAAAATTAGAATGTAGTCTGTCACTAGTTAGAAATGGGAAAACATTGTGGAAATATTTGGGGACAAAACATTTAAGGAACAATATTCTTAGCCTTAGAGAGACTGAGATCAGTATATAAAAGTCCCAAATTATGAAGTTCTTTCATCCACATAAAGGTGCCCCTATGCAGAAAGAGCTTGTCTGAGGGGCAAGATTAATGTCTTTAATACTTTCTCTTTTATAACAAACAATTTTATTAACCAGCAGGCTAAGTATGTCTTTGGAGGCAGATGGCACTGTAGATATTTAAATTTTCCGTCTCATTCTTTCCTTTTCAGTTCATGGTAGAGTTGAAACATAAACAGTAGGGGTGAACCTACCTCTGCAAAAAGCTCTAGTAACACACAACTGAGTCATTCTGGTGATCACCAATTTCAACATTCCTATTAAAATTTTTCTGTAAATCTAAAACAGTTCTAAAAAAATTAACTCTGTGGAGAGTTATACAATGACAGATCCTTCAACCAGGATCTATTAAGCACATCTTTAATTTATACCCTCCCACTTCTCCAAGTTATTTATATTTGTTACTAGTTTGAGCTTCTAGGCACTATACACATAGAAAAAAACCTTACTAACAGGAAGCTGTGACCCTGAATTCTTATTTAAATTATAGCATTGCTATTTTCTAGTGTTGCTTTATTAAAAGAATCAGGTCATTTGCACTAGAGACAATGGTGATAAGAATTAAAGCAGGATGAATTTTTATGGGACCCAAAGGAAAACACTGGCTCTTAGGATATGCAATGCTGATTTAGAAGCGTTAAAGCAATCTCCTAATAGGCTAGAGCCCTTTCTTGGCTGGTTCTGTACTACACTGGCATAAATTTTAATATTTAGTGACTGCTCATTATTATTCAACAAAAATAAGACTTTTACTTTTTTCATTTTGAATTTTAGTATTAGGGCAAGTGTGTTAGAGAACATAACACACCGGAGGCACTAACCTCCAATTACTCATTAAGTAATTCCTGACTTTAAGGTTTGGAGCACTGACAAAAGGTATAAAGGAGCCCAAAATACAGTATAACAACAACAAAAGCTGGGGACTTTCTGGAATGGAGGTATTCCCTAAAAGCAGTTTTTCCTTTATAAAGCCTCCCCCTCACTCCTAATCTAACTAGTATCATTCTCTTCACTTTTCTCTATAAGCCTTTTCTAGTTTCTCTTTCACTTAACTACCCTATGTAGAAATGTAATGTGTTTTTAGTGTTGCCATCTCAAATCTTTTTTGGGAAATTGCTAGTTAACAAAGTAGAAACTTTTTTTTACAAAGTAGAAACTTTAAAACTAAGTCCAAGACAGGAAAAAGATACACTATTTAATTAAATGAATTGTTACATGTTTCACATAAGGCATAAAGCAAGAGCCGGGGCTGGTACCCACAGGACTAAGGAAGCCATTTTTCAGATATCAAAAATTAAATAGATGAAATTAACATTTTAAATAGTTTTTAAAAGGCATACTAATTCAAAGGCAAGTAAGATAAGAGAAACAAGGGTGACAATATTTCTCACCTTTCCCCTTCTCATAAGTCATCTTGGGAGTAAAATTTCATTTTTAATCCTAGGCTCCTTATTTTAGGGTTGTTTCAAAGAGAATTAAAGTAATACCATAATGAAGAGGTCATTTCAACCTCAGAGAGTTTTAAAGCTGTGCCTTGGCATCAAGTTCCATGATTGGACTACAAATACTCTGCCAGTTAGTAGCAGAATTAGGATCTAGATGTCCCGATTCCCAACCCCAGAGATGACTACTATTTATATATTCCACAAATACGTACTGAGCACTTGTGTGCCTGGCACTGTTTTACATGCTTAAGGTACATCGGTGAATAAAACATAAACATCCCTGCCCTGGGAGAGTTAATTCACACGGTGATAACACACACTCAGCAGAAACCTTGACAATAATAGTATCGCTACATTTTTATAGTCTTTTCCTCTATTATAAATTTTTTTTTAAAGTACTTATCTCCTAACACATTCTTCTACGTAAATAAGTTATGTCTTTTATCAATGCCACACCATCCCGGCTCTGGGGATTCCAAGGCTTAAAATAGACGAGCTCTCACAGAAACCTCAGATAGCACATTCTCAGGCTGGAAACTTCATTCAATGCCGGTTTCTTAAACTTAAAAGCACCAGATGGGGTTTTTTTCTCTTCAAAGACATCATGTTAGCAAAGATGGAGGAACAGACCACACTTTCAATGACGTTCTAGTACGCACGCAGTTGCTCATCCACCTTGGCTTCTTTTCTCATCCTCACCCGTCTAGCCCTAGGCTCCACACCTAGGTTCCACCACTTACAATCTTATATTACACCTATGAAAGCCCGCTCTCAACATTCCACCAGAGGCACTTACAGGCTTCCACATCCCTTCTCCTTATCCGCCCCCGAAATAATTTCTCAAAAGTCACTTTTTACCGAAATAAGTTTGTCCCACATTTCCTAACAATCATGTCCCAAATACAACACCTTGACTCTGCTTCAAGGCGCTTTTCCTTCAATCGTTTGATCCCCAGGAGAATTTCGGGGTGGGCAGGGATTGGCGCGAGACCAAATTTGGAGAGAAGTAACCTCTCACTTAGGGCTGAGACTGGTGAGGGGAGCGAGGCGCCCAGAGCGCAAAACCTAGGGAGGAGTCTTCACCGGCTCTACCCCGAGAGTGAGCGACCCCTTATATTTTGCACCCTAGCACCGTATTCGGCTCACCCTAGTCCTGGCCCTGTTTTTTTACTGCCACCCCTTCCTCAACACTCCCCAAAGTCATCGCAAGCCGAGACCCCGTGTCCGAGCCTCCCGGGGGAAAGTCCCGGGTCACTGGGAGTCCACCTCGCCAAGGGCCCCCGTTGGTGCCACCGCCCACCCGCAGCCTCCCTACGCCAGGGCTCCCGCCCACCCGGCCCATCCCGCCCTCCAACGGGATTCCCCATCCCCGGGCCCGCCCCCGCCGCTCCTCCTCCCGACACACCGCCCTCCCCGCCTCAGACGCGGTACTCGCTGGGGGCTCTCTCGCCCCGTCGCCCCTTTTCCCCTAACCCTCGGGACTGGGAGTGGGCGCCTCAATATCCCCGACCAGGCAGGCAAGGTGCCCCTCCGTTTCCTCCCAATTCCCTCACTCCTTCGCCTCTCGCTCTCTCCGCCGGGGGTGGCGAGGTGCGGAGGCCCGGCCCCACCGCCCGGCCCGGTCTTGTTTACTCACTCACCCTCCATCCCGAGCCGCAGGGACCCACCG